AGGGTTCCCTTCCCTCCCTCTGTGCTCTAAGCAATCCCTGGGACTGGGGCGATGGGGTCAAGTCCGCCTACATGCAACTCGCCCTGCGCTCGCTGCACTTCCTGGGAGGTGGGTGGGTGAGCGAGAGAGGGTTCCCTTCCCTCCCTCTGTGCTCTAAGCAATCCCTGGGACTGGGGCGATGGGGTCAAGTCCGCCTACATGCAACTCGCCCTGCGCTCGCTGCACTTCCTGGGAGGTGGGTGGGTGAGCGAGAGAGGGTTCCCTTCCCTCCCTCTGTGCTCTAAGCAATCCCTGGGACTGGGGCGATGGGGTCAAGTCCGCCTACATGCAACTCGCCCTGCGCTCGCTGCACTTCCTGGGAGGTGGGTGGGTGAGCGAGAGAGGGTTCCCTTCCCTCCCTCTGTGCTCTAAGCAATCCCTGGGACTGGGGCGATGGGGTCAAGTCCGCCTACATGCAACTCGCCCTGCGCTCGCTGCACTTCCTGGGAGGTGGGTGGGTGAGCGAGAGAGGGTTCCCTTCCCTCCCTCTGTGCTCTAAGCAATCCCTGGGACTGGGGCGATGGGGTCAAGTCCGCCTACATGCAACTCGCCCTGCGCTCGCTGCACTTCCTGGGAGGTGGGTGGGTGAGCGAGAGAGGGTTCCCTTCCCTCCCTCTGTGCTCTAAGCAATCCCTGGGACTGGGGCGATGGGGTCAAGTCCGCCTACATGCAACTCGCCCTGCGCTCGCTGCACTTCCTGGGAGGTGGGTGGGTGAGCGAGAGAGGGTTCCCTTCCCTCCCTCTGTGCTCTAAGCAATCCCTGGGACTGGGGCGATGGGGTCAAGTCCGCCTACATGCAACTCGCCCTGCGCTCGCTGCACTTCCTGGGAGGTGGGTGGGTGAGCGAGAGAGGGTTCCCTTCCCTCCCTCTGTGCTCTAAGCAATCCCTGGGACTGGGGCGATGGGGTCAAGTCCGCCTACATGCAACTCGCCCTGCGCTCGCTGCACTTCCTGGGAGGTGGGTGGGTGAGCGAGAGAGGGTTCCCTTCCCTCCCTCTGTGCTCTAAGCAATCCCTGGGACTGGGGCGATGGGGTCAAGTCCGCCTACATGCAACTCGCCCTGCGCTCGCTGCACTTCCTGGGAGGTGGGTGGGTGAGCGAGAGAGGGTTCCCTTCCCTCCCTCTGTGCTCTAAGCAATCCCTGGGACTGGGGCGATGGGGTCAAGTCCGCCTACATGCAACTCGCCCTGCGCTCGCTGCACTTCCTGGGAGGTGGGTGGGTGAGCGAGAGAGGGTTCCCTTCCCTCCCTCTGTGCTCTAAGCAATCCCTGGGACTGGGGCGATGGGGTCAAGTCCGCCTACATGCAACTCGCCCTGCGCTCGCTGCACTTCCTGGGAGGTGGGTGGGTGAGCGAGAGAGGGTTCCCTTCCCTCCCTCTGTGCTCTAAGCAATCCCTGGGACTGGGGCGATGGGGTCAAGTCCGCCTACATGCAACTCGCCCTGCGCTCGCTGCACTTCCTGGGAGGTGGGTGGGTGAGCGAGAGAGGGTTCCCTTCCCTCCCTCTGTGCTCTAAGCAATCCCTGGGACTGGGGCGATGGGGTCAAGTCCGCCTACATGCAACTCGCCCTGCGCTCGCTGCACTTCCTGGGAGGTGGGTGGGTGAGCGAGAGAGGGTTCCCTTCCCTCCCTCTGTGCTCTAAGCAATCCCTGGGACTGGGGCGATGGGGTCAAGTCCGCCTACATGCAACTCGCCCTGCGCTCGCTGCACTTCCTGGGAGGTGGGTGGGTGAGCGAGAGAGGGTTCCCTTCCCTCCCTCTGTGCTCTAAGCAATCCCTGGGACTGGGGCGATGGGGTCAAGTCCGCCTACATGCAACTCGCCCTGCGCTCGCTGCACTTCCTGGGAGGTGGGTGGGTGAGCGAGAGAGGGTTCCCTTCCCTCCCTCTGTGCTCTAAGCAATCCCTGGGACTGGGGCGATGGGGTCAAGTCCGCCTACATGCAACTCGCCCTGCGCTCGCTGCACTTCCTGGGAGGTGGGTGGGTGAGCGAGAGAGGGTTCCCTTCCCTCCCTCTGTGCTCTAAGCAATCCCTGGGACTGGGGCGATGGGGTCAAGTCCGCCTACATGCAACTCGCCCTGCGCTCGCTGCACTTCCTGGGAGGTGGGTGGGTGAGCGAGAGAGGGTTCCCTTCCCTCCCTCTGTGCTCTAAGCAATCCCTGGGACTGGGGCGATGGGGTCAAGTCCGCCTACATGCAACTCGCCCTGCGCTCGCTGCACTTCCTGGGAGGTGGGTGGGTGAGCGAGAGAGGGTTCCCTTCCCTCCCTCTGTGCTCTAAGCAATCCCTGGGACTGGGGCGATGGGGTCAAGTCCGCCTACATGCAACTCGCCCTGCGCTCGCTGCACTTCCTGGGAGGTGGGTGGGTGAGCGAGAGAGGGTTCCCTTCCCTCCCTCTGTGCTCTAAGCAATCCCTGGGACTGGGGCGATGGGGTCAAGTCCGCCTACATGCAACTCGCCCTGCGCTCGCTGCACTTCCTGGGAGGTGGGTGGGTGAGCGAGAGAGGGTTCCCTTCCCTCCCTCTGTGCTCTAAGCAATCCCTGGGACTGGGGCGATGGGGTCAAGTCCGCCTACATGCAACTCGCCCTGCGCTCGCTGCACTTCCTGGGAGGTGGGTGGGTGAGCGAGAGAGGGTTCCCTTCCCTCCCTCTGTGCTCTAAGCAATCCCTGGGACTGGGGCGATGGGGTCAAGTCCGCCTACATGCAACTCGCCCTGCGCTCGCTGCACTTCCTGGGAGGTGGGTGGGTGAGCGAGAGAGGGTTCCCTTCCCTCCCTCTGTGCTCTAAGCAATCCCTGGGACTGGGGCGATGGGGTCAAGTCCGCCTACATGCAACTCGCCCTGCGCTCGCTGCACTTCCTGGGAGGTGGGTGGGTGAGCGAGAGAGGGTTCCCTTCCCTCCCTCTGTGCTCTAAGCAATCCCTGGGACTGGGGCGATGGGGTCAAGTCCGCCTACATGCAACTCGCCCTGCGCTCGCTGCACTTCCTGGGAGGTGGGTGGGTGAGCGAGAGAGGGTTCCCTTCCCTCCCTCTGTGCTCTAAGCAATCCCTGGGACTGGGGCGATGGGGTCAAGTCCGCCTACATGCAACTCGCCCTGCGCTCGCTGCACTTCCTGGGAGGTGGGTGGGTGAGCGAGAGAGGGTTCCCTTCCCTCCCTCTGTGCTCTAAGCAATCCCTGGGACTGGGGCGATGGGGTCAAGTCCGCCTACATGCAACTCGCCCTGCGCTCGCTGCACTTCCTGGGAGGTGGGTGGGTGAGCGAGAGAGGGTTCCCTTCCCTCCCTCTGTGCTCTAAGCAATCCCTGGGACTGGGGCGATGGGGTCAAGTCCGCCTACATGCAACTCGCCCTGCGCTCGCTGCACTTCCTGGGAGGTGGGTGGGTGAGCGAGAGAGGGTTCCCTTCCCTCCCTCTGTGCTCTAAGCAATCCCTGGGACTGGGGCGATGGGGTCAAGTCCGCCTACATGCAACTCGCCCTGCGCTCGCTGCACTTCCTGGGAGGTGGGTGGGTGAGCGAGAGAGGGTTCCCTTCCCTCCCTCTGTGCTCTAAGCAATCCCTGGGACTGGGGCGATGGGGTCAAGTCCGCCTACATGCAACTCGCCCTGCGCTCGCTGCACTTCCTGGGAGGTGGGTGGGTGAGCGAGAGAGGGTTCCCTTCCCTCCCTCTGTGCTCTAAGCAATCCCTGGGACTGGGGCGATGGGGTCAAGTCCGCCTACATGCAACTCGCCCTGCGCTCGCTGCACTTCCTGGGAGGTGGGTGGGTGAGCGAGAGAGGGTTCCCTTCCCTCCCTCTGTGCTCTAAGCAATCCCTGGGACTGGGGCGATGGGGTCAAGTCCGCCTACATGCAACTCGCCCTGCGCTCGCTGCACTTCCTGGGAGGTGGGTGGGTGAGCGAGAGAGGGTTCCCTTCCCTCCCTCTGTGCTCTAAGCAATCCCTGGGACTGGGGCGATGGGGTCAAGTCCGCCTACATGCAACTCGCCCTGCGCTCGCTGCACTTCCTGGGAGGTGGGTGGGTGGTAGTAGAGAGCTAAAGCGTCCATTCCTCCTGTCTCACACTCACGTCCTCCTCATATGCATCTGTGTGAGCCCTTGTTAGCATGGCATGTTTTGAGTCGACTCACAACACGACTTATTTGCATCTGCGTGAGCCCTTGTTAGCATGCCATCTGAACTGCCCTGCTCCAGGCAGCTCTCACTCTGTTCACTCTTTTCCTTTCTTCTCTCCTTCCCCCGTCACAGTGTCTCAAGTCCATCCCAAGAACTGGTACCCCATCCCGCTCATCCTCTGCAAGCCGTGGGGGTTGCTGCTGCTCTGCTCTGCTTTGCTCCAACCCAGTCTCTCTCTTCTCCTTTCCTTACTTATCTCCTCTCCTCCCCCTCTCACAGTGTCTCAAGTCTATCCCAAGAACTGGTATTCCGCTCATCCTCTGCAAGGTTTGGGGTTCCCTGCTGCTTCTGAACTGCTCTGCTCTGCTCTGATCCCACCCCGTCACACTCTGCCCTTCTCCCCTTTCCGTATGCCCCCCTCTCCTCCCCCTCTCACAGTGTCTCAAGTCCATCCAAAGAACTGGTACCCCATTCCGCTCATCCTCTGCAAGCCATGGGCCTGCTGTTCTGCTCTGCTCTCACTTACTCTGTTCTCTCCTCTGTCCTCTCTCTTCATCTCCCCGCATCCTCCTTGCACAGTCTCTCAAGTCCATCCCAAGAACTGGTACCCCATCCCGCTCATCCTCTGCAAGCCATGGGATGGGGCGTGCTGCTACCGCTGCTCTGCACTAAGCCCGTTTACTTACTTCCCTTTCTTTTGACTCTCCCTTCACCAGTCTCTCAAGTCCATCCCAAGAACTGGTATCCCATTCCGCTCATCCTCTGCAAGCCATGGGGCCTTCTCCCCTCAGACGCGCCCTGTCATCCGCGTTTGGGAGATTTCGCCAAGTGCATGAAAAAGAAAGGCAGAGGAATGAGCATCTTCGCTTCGGTGCTGGAGGGTGATTATAGGTATGGTGCAGGGGGGGGAAGGGGGGGTGTTGGTGTAAGCATGGAGAAGGGGGAGAGGGAAAACCTTGAAGTTCTGCCATGCAAGCCTGGGGGATTTCGCCAAGTGCATGTGGAAGAAAGGGCAGGGGAATGAGAATCTTTGTGTCGGTTTTAGAGGGGAATTACAGGTATGGTGCAGTTGGGTGGGGGGTGGTTGGCATGAAGGGTGGGGGAAGGGAGACCGTCACACCCTGCCATGCACTCCTGGGGGATTTCGCCAAGTGCATGAGGAAGAAGGGCAGAGGAACGAGCAACTTTGCTTCGGTGCTGGAGGGAGATTACAGGTACGTGTGGTTATGGCGCCATCCCTGTCATGGCCCATCATGCCCCATCACACCCTTCCGTTCGACTGAATGCTGAGCCTTCCTCCCCCTCCCTCCCTCTTTTGCTTTCTCTCCCATCCCCCCTCTCCCATCCTCCAGCGCCCTAGCTTCGGAAGCCAGTAGGTCAGCACATGTGCTGAGTCTCCTCCCTTCTCCCACCCCTTCCCTCCTCCAGCGCCCTAGCCTCGGAAGCCAGCAGGTCAGCCCGATCTCTCCTAGCCTACATTGACAGCAACCAGTGCGAGGGCGTGGCAGAGGTGATGGTGGCTGCAAGACTGACTTACTGCTTCCTTCCTTCTCTCCTCCCTCCCTTCCTTACTCCCCATCAGCGCCCTCGCCTCAGAGGCCAGTAGGTCGGCCCGTTCACTCCTGGCCTACATAGACAGCCACCAGTGCGAGGGGGTGGCGGAGGTGATGGTGGCCTCCTCTGTGAGGCGAGGCGTGGGGATCGCCCTGCAGAGCATGGGGCTGGCGGGCTTAAAGCCCAACATCGTGTGCTTCAGATACCCAGAAGCATGGCAGCAGCACGAGGGAAGGTACGCACGTGGTTTAAAGCCCAGCGTTTCAAAGCACAGGTACATGTGCGGGGGTAAGTAATCTCCTGAATGCAGAGCATGGGGCTGGCGGGCTTAAAGCCCAACATCGTGTGCTTCAGATACCCTAAACCCTGGCAGCAGCAAGAGTCGAGGTATGAGGCTTAAAGCCCAGCATTCATGGCATTCACAACACAGGTACCTGTGGGGGTTGCCCTGCAGAGCATGGGGCTGGCGGGCTTAAAGCCCGACATCGTCAAGGTGTGGCAGCAGCAAGAATCAATGTACGGGCCTTAAAGGTAGCATTCTTCCTTGCTCCTGTAGTGGATTGTATTGGATTTAACAGGTGTGAAAGAACTACTGTGTAACTGTGCGAGTTTCAAGATGCCTCCATGCCGTGCCGTGTGTGATAAGTCGATTTTTGAGTCGACTAAAAAAATGATTTAACAGGTGTAAGAATTATTGCGCGAGTTTCAACATCCCTCCGATACAGAGTTCGCCTTCTGCTTCCCCTCTCTCCTAAAGATGTTTGAGGCGTCTCAAATGTCCTCTTCCCCTCGCTCCTAAAGATGAGTCGATTTTTGAGTCGACTCAAAAAAAGCGACTCGTCACACTCTTCCCATCTCTCCTAAGCATCCTCCCGTTTTGTGCTACTTTCTGCTCTTCTTTTCCATTCTTTCCTGCTCGCTCTTATTCTCCCATCCCTCGTTACAGTCACATCCCCGAGACGTTTGTGAGCCTGATCAACGACAGCAACACGGCGGGCAAGGCGTGTGTGATTGTAAAGGGGTTGGACGAGTGGCCAGCAGAGGGGTGCCGGCAGCACGACACCATCGACCTGTTCTGGATCGTGAGGGATGGAGGCATCATGCTGCTGCTGTCTCAGCTGCTGCGCTCCCGACCCACCTTCGATGCTTGCAAGATTCAGGTGGGCTTTTTTGGAAACCTGGCTGGCTGGCTGGCAGGGTGATTCCTCCTATCCTGCTCTCTAGTACCCTCTAGTGGGGGGGTACTAGAGGGGCCAGCAGAGGGGTTCTCTTGTTCCATCTTTCCTAAGTGTTTTGCTTAGCTGAGGATGACAGGACGGCAAACACGTTGCAACTAGACATGGCTCAGTCGACCGTCAACGTGCTTTGAATCTCCCGCACACACGCACATTTAATCTCCTGCTTTCATCCCCCCTTTTCTTCAGGTGTTTTGCATTGCAGAGGACAATGGGACAGCAGAGACGTTGCAACTAGACGCGGCCCAGTTGACAATCGTCGTACTTTGAATCCCCCACACGCTCACTCACTCGCTCAATCTCTTGCTTCCACAACCCCCCCCCCTCCCCCCCCCCCTTCCCCCCACTTCCCATTCCCCCTTGTCTCTTCAGGTGTTTTGCATTGCAGAGGACGATGGGACAGCAGAGACGTTGCAGCTAGACGTGGCCCAGTTTCTGCACGACCTGCGCATGCAGGTGAGCTCAGAGCGGTACCAAACTGTTTGGAATGGTGGAGAGAGGCTTGGAGTGGCTTGCAGTGGTTTAGAGTATCTCCGAGTGGCTCAGCGCGGCGCAAAGTAGTTT